TGCGCGTATGCTTTATTTAGAATTTATTCAGACATACCTAATTAATTTGAGCGTGCTTTTAAGTGCAATTGCCAGTGATATATTATTAATTATAATCCATCACTAACTTAAGTACTTTTGCCTTTTTTCTATCACTAACTTAAAACTTTTTAACTGTTAAATAGTATTGGTTAAATTTTAGAGTACTTGAAAAAAGAGAGCAATTAAATTAGAGGCTAGAAATCCTTGAAAGAAAAAGAAATGGCTTTTAATCTCAATTTTTATTTCTTTCCTTATATAAAATAAAGACTGATATGAATAACATTTTAAAATTCATCATTGTTTAAAAAAACATTACTGAAAAAATATCTAATTCATAGATTTAGTTAAGTCAGAATTAGAGCAAATCAATGTCTAAAACTAAAATTTTCAAATCAAACTATGTTAATATAATTTTAACAATACATATAACCGTAAAAAGTTAATCAAAAATTTGGAATTATGAAAAGCTGCTCTCATATAATTATTAAATCGAATGTTTGAGAAATGTAAAATTGTTTATTTCCCAAGCTCGGAATTTTTAAAATTACTCTTAACTTTTCATTGTGGTAGTTTTATTTTTAATTAGGCTTTACTGCATCTCATGGGAAAGCATATTAATATATCATCGTGATTGAACCTAACCTTAAGCTAAAAATTCAATTATGCAAAATCAATGCTCGTGTGATTACAACGAGCTCTAGAAAGTAAAATTAATCCTCTCAACTTGTTAAGCAGTAAAAGCAATTCAAATTTCCGTATATTTATCTATTGCCATTCGAGGGAAGCCTAATAAACCTATAATAATAGAGACAGCAAACGATTTTTTCTGCACAGTTTGGTTCTCACAGCGATACTTATTTTCCATGATACAATTATATGGATGTCAAAAACAGACGATGTCTCATGAGCGTAGAAATACATACTTCACCTGCTGTTTTATTAAACATGGATTTATAAATAAAACATTCTATTGAGAAAAAGTAAGAGTTCTACAATAATAGTTTTCTTTTTTTTATATAAATAATATTTTCCCTAACAAATGATTTGGATATTTTTGTTATATTTTGTTTCACCCAAATTGATTTCTTAATTATATAATCCTTAATTAAATCAAATAGCAAATGGTTGATACTGAAAAATAGCTGTGTGGAATTATTTAATTGGTAAAATTTAAATATTAGTCAAAGTGTTTAAGAAATATTCTTTCTCTAAGAGATGATAGAAAAAAGAATTCATTGTGATAGCAAAATAATTTTTAGCTCAAGTATTTTATTTCCAAAAGAAGTAGTTTGGCTTGTATTAATTATCTAACTTATTTAACTATATTAATTCTGTATTCGGCTAAAATATTTTCGGTACCGACTGGCTTGATATGTAACAAAAAAAAAGAATATGTTAAAAATTGCAGTTATTTATTTTTTACATTTACTTGCTGATTTACACAAACCTTTCTGTTAATTATAAATCTGAGATTTATGGCAAAGTTTTCTGTAAAAGCTGTGCAGTATTTTATTATGTTAATATGTTAATATTAGTTTTCTTTTTCAAAGTAAAACTTTTTTGAATGGTGTAAAAATAATTTTTTTCGTGCAAAAAGTATGAAAAATACGGATTTTCTTGGATTTTTCTGAGTGTATTTGGAGGAAATTTTTAGCGTGCAATTTATATGATCAGAAATACCTGTTTGAGTTTATGAAACACAATACAGAAGCATATTTGATTTTTTTTCTCACTGATAAAAATTTCTCCAAAAATGGCAAAAAAACAATTTATTTAATTGTTATTTTACCATATTCAACTAAAACAGTCAAATAACCTCAAAAAGATGGTATTCAAACTGTTAACTGTGCGAAAAATCATTTATTGACTGTTTTTACTAAATACGGTTAAAGAACCAGAACTTTATTCGTGTCAAATAGGCTTACAGCTTAAGAAATAAAATATTTACTAACACAGCAGCGGATGGCTAATGCTGTAATAGTAATAAGTGTGTGGTGAAAAACTCATGAAGCTACTTCGTTTCCTGAAGCTGACTGCACACTTTAGTCTATATGGCTTTTTTGTCATGACAGTCTGAGCGAAATTACTATACTCAACGTTGACACCACGATATTTCTTCCATTACTCTAATGTTTCGTAGTTTCTAGCATCCTGCACTTTTCCATTGGTGACTCTGGAACATTGGAACACGAAACTCTCATTAACACATTGATGACAGCATTGTAACACAAAAAAGTCAGGTATTACCCATCCCTCATGTTAGATGACACCACTTGGTAAAATATTTAAGCTACATTACATGGTTCATGTAATATTAAGAACTGGATAATAAGCAATATATTATACACTATTTATAGTTACGTGTCTCGGAGATTAATTTACGTTCTAGAATAATGTCCAGTGAGCAGAAGAATTTCAGTTATTTGCATAATTTTTAATTTTTATTGACTACTCAGTAGTTAATGTTTTAAAAAAAAGCAATACTGTAAATTTTTGAGTATATCACCATAGATGGTGGCATCTACTCTACAACTAAGTGGTATTGTACTTTATTTTATAACCGTCGTTTAACACCCGACCCAAATTTTGGGCTTACGACTATTAATGTTCAACTCCGTAACCCTTTAATTTTGAACCCAATCCAGAAGACAAGGGAATTCCTGGAGCAAGTATTGGAAGAAATTTGCCTTTGTAGAGGACTTCTTGATGGAACTAGCCCGTATTTCCGTTACATAGAGAGAAAGGCCGCAAGATTTTCCCACGGGTAGCCAGATGGCAAAGGGACTCTGACCCGTGATCCGTCTACCACTGAGGATATTTCTCGTCAGCACTGTAGTTGGTGCAAGCCAGATGCGGATTCATATCGACCAGCCATCGCTGGGATTCGAAAACTGTTCACCTCATTGGAAGGCAAGCGCTCTATCACCTGAGCCATCACGGTTAACCTAAAAGGTGTAGTGAATCATTGTACATAATTTTTGAATCTAGGTGCTTCCCTTCACCAAGATTGTACTTCTACACTACTTGGTGTAAAGTAACCACCACCAATTTTTAATGAAGTTGCATCAAAATTTATAGTTACAGTAAGACATGATTCACATGCGAGTCATAAAGGTTATTTTTACGCTGGGTTATAATGTAAGAATTATTAATTTATTTATCTATGCAATATGTGCCTTAAAATAAAATTAGTTAGTTAATCAAAGACACACGCAGCACAAAGAGAATATTGATATGAGTGTGAGCAAAGCTTCACTATACCGAAATGGATAGAAAATAAATATTATAAAATTATTTGCTACAATTTGAAGATTTATATAAATCTTCATATGATAACATAATTACCCTTATTAAACAACTAAAAACACGCATGCCTTTTTTATGTTAGTTTTCTTCTGTTTTTGTGGAATATTCAGCATCGAGAGAGGCGAAAACAAACTTTCAACTTAGCCTCTCAATTTAAAAAAGAAATATAGATTTTCTGACGGTTTCAAACTTGGACCAGAATTGGCTAAAATAATTCGTGAATTGAGTAAATGCATTCGAACTTGGTGTAAGATTTCTCATTTATAGGAAGTTAGATTTGACAACACGTTTCAAAGAGAGTATGAACGTTTAATTCGGGATTAATATTAAATAACACAATTTTGGAGTTTTTCAACATCAATTTCATATAAATACTATGCCTCATTGTTTTCATTGTATGAAGTCGAAACTCAATGATTAGGAGTTTTTTGTTCGAACTATTCCATTTAATAACTAAGTTTCGAAACCAACTACAAGACTATATTTTCTCTAGAAATTTCTACTCTCGATCGCAAATACTATTAATTCTGTCGATAACATGTTTCTAAACTAACTTATTTCATTGAAAATTATTTATAAAAATCCTTTTAAAAACAAAAAAATAATTGGACGATAATTCACTATTCATTGACTTTAGTACACAGTGACCTTAATCTAGTTAGTCTCGTGTGTTCCATATGAAAGAACGAAAATATTCAGAAAAATGAAAGTAAGAAAACGAAAGAAAATGCCCTAATTGCCCTTAGAATTAGAAGAAATGAAGGAATAATGAAGTAAAAGAAAGAAAATGCATTAAAAGTTTTAAATCTTAGTAAATGTTTCACTCACAAATAATGTTAAACTTTAAATAAAGCTAGTTTTTAAAAAAATCTATACATATTCCTGTACATTGATTTGAAATATAATCATTAAAAAAATTAAGAAAAAGATTTAAGTAAAGAATGTTTGACTGTTTTCTTAGGTATACTTCCCCTTTTCCTAAATTTCATACAAAAAATGCTTCGTAAGCACAATCCTTTATATAAAATTTTCAAATCTTGCTCAAACTTTGTTAAAAATATATGCACACTAGGAGTCGCATATCAGCGCTTAAGAGAGGAAGAAAGTAAAACACAATCGAAATCAGTCGAATCACTAGTGAGGGATGCTGTTGAAAAACATCAAAACCAGTTTGATTTCTGTATGAAACTTGGCGTTGTTTCCAATAATAACATTTCAACTTCCATATGTTTCCTTCACCAATCACGCAGTGAAATGTTTTCGGTCCAGCTATCTTCATTAGTGCTTCGATAGAAAGTTTGCTTTCTCTGGTTTAAATCTTCATATTTTTTTAAAATTCATTTCTAAAAAAAAATCAAAAATCATGCATTAAGGGCAGCATTTTCAGAATACCTCGAATATTTTATTGTTCATGACACTAAAAATTCAAAAAGTAAATTTAAGAGAATAAGACTTGAAATGGTTTATTGTAATTCTTTTTTATTTAAAAAAAAGTTAATCTAAATCAAAATGAATGGTTATAATATTCATATTCAATTATTTTACAGATACATAAGATGGATGTATGTTTCTAAGGCATGGAAGTTTTCACGTCTACTAGCGTAATGGTAAAAATTAGTGCATTGAAGGTATAATGTATTTTTCAAGAAATTGAATTCAGGGATATCTTCAAAATGGAAGTATTTGCAAGTTCTTCATCCAACTCCTCAATGGACGTTTTCAATTTTAACTGGAGTCAAGTGGCTCGTATTTTAGAAGAACATCTAAGTGATCATGTTTTTGAAGGTAAGATATAGCAATCAAACTATACATTCTTAAAGAAATGCATGCATATGCCTAACTGAGCAAAATAATGAAGCTGAATCAGTATTTGATAGTTACTGTGGTAATCATGATTATTCACTTTAATTAATATTTCAGTGCGTTGCATTTTCATTGTCATTTTGTTGGCTAGTTATTCATTTTTTAAATTAAATAGAAATATTAGCGTACCAAGCATGTTTCCTTAAAGACTGAATAATGACATACAAAAAGCTTTACAAAAACATTTTATTTTTTTTTAGTTTTTACTGTAAACCTTATTTTTGTCTTTTTTATTTCTATTTTTGCTTAAATAACATTTTGTTTGTGTTGAAAACTTAATGATCAGGTCAACCTTCAGTTTTAAAATGTTAAAGAAAGTATATAAATGCCTAAACAAATAAACCTTGCTTCAGTGATGGCCATAAAATCTTAAATAATCCTTGAGAAGATGAATTTATTCAAAGTTTGAGAGCACTTTCTGTTCTTAATTTGTGAAGTATGTCTACGTATTGTTTTTAGGAGGTTTTTCTAGCCTTGTTTTGTAAAGGGATGGCCAATATCAATACAAAAGGGTTGTTTATGCAAGCCTATAGAGAATCTCATAGTGCGTAAACTAACATAATTAAATCTTGTATTTTTTTCCATCTTGCATGATTTATTTGCTAATTACGTATAAAACTTGTTGGGTTTTGTGATAAAGGTTGTTACTGACATCAATCAAGTATACACTGCTCACTAGGAATTTTTACTTTTAACACTCTTAATTCCTTTTTTAATACATAATTATGAGGTATTAAACCTTTTGAAGATAATAAATTATATGATTTTGGCAGAACTCAATTGAATGATGCAATGAAGAAATTATCTAAAGATTATAATGAACAATTTTAATTAACATGCAATAGACATTAAAATACATTGCATTTAGTGATTATCAATATTCAATTCAAAAAATAAAAATTTATGTATGAATTTTTCTTAGATTATAATAAGAAGTAATATGGTGGGTACAGTACTATAACTAAAACGAGAATCGTGAGTTCTTTTTTTTCTTCTTTTAAGTTATCTAGTTTTAATACTCTCTATTATCTTCCACATACGCCCCAGATAACAGTGTAATATTGATTTAAATGTCAGCAATCATCTTTATCACAAATCCCAAAAAGATTTATTAATGATTAGAAAATAATCCATGTAGGTTTAAAACAATGTTAAATTTAACTATGCTAGTTTATGAGCCTATGGGGTTAGCATTACGCTTCCATGAATAACACTTATGCCCTTTGGCATTGCCTTTACAAAACAAGGCTAGAAAAACCTCCCAAAGTGTTCTCAAACTGAGGATAAATTCATCTTCTCAAGACAATTTTTGACCATCATTGAAACAAGGCACGTGCCATACAAGGTTTATTGCACATGCCTTTTTCACACTTTAAAAGTGAAGGTTGGCCTAATCATTAAGTTAACAAAACAAAACAAGACAAAACAAAACAGAGCAAACAAAATGTTTCATTTGAGAGTATGGGCAAAGTTAGAGCGAAAAAAGGCAAAAGCAAGGTTTACAGTACCTTTAAATAAAACCTAAAAAAATGAAATTTTTTTGCAAAATATTTGCATGCGTTTATCTATTTTTTAAGAAAACTATCTTTGCATACTAATATTTCTAAGATTAAAAAAAAATTAATTTTTGAGCTATATTAATTTTGAAAATTAATTTTAAAAATTAATTAAAAATTACTTTTTAAAAGTTGTCCAGTTTTAATAACTTCTATTAATTTCCACATACGCTTTTAAAAAACATTGAATGATAGAATTTCAAATATTTAACTATATAAGCCAGTCATAAAAATATTTTTATATGTAGCTTGATATCAAAAAATGCCATGCACTCATCCAGTTTTAACACTGTATTCACGTTTTTAATTGAAAACAAGAAAATAGTCCAAACAGTACTCTGAGAATTGCAAAAAACATACATACAAGGGTGTAAAAAAGTTAAGAAACATTCAAACATTTTAAGAAATATACATCACATTAAAAAAGTGGAAATAATCACATTCAATATATTTTAAAGGCTATTCAATGATAACAAACTTGATCTTTTATTTCCTTCCCTTGTTTGGCATTCAGGAGGGATGAACTTTGAAATTTTAAATATGAACTCCTATTTTCCTCTATTTTCAGATTATCCAGAAAAAAGTAACCCTTTCTGAATTGCAGGTTTATGCATTTTGCTTCACAGATGGCGTTGTTATCGAAAAAAAATTAAATAAGAGTACAAGATGTTTAAAATGGCACATCTCGAAACCCACCAGATTCAGGAACATAAAAATAAACACTTTTAACAATGAATATTTATCATATATTTGTAATAAACCATGAATATTTAACACTTTCTTAGTAAATAAAGAGATTTCGTTCTTGTTATTCTCAAAGTTAAGTTGAATCAAGTGGGATCCACTTTCTGTCTGAAGAAAACTTAAGCTGTTGCTCTAATGGTTAGCCGTGAAAATTCTAAACAGGAATGCCTAGTCAGATATTTTTCCTTGCATATTTTTCAAATTCAGCATTGGCACGACAGCTCTTTGTGAGCCTGGGCCTTCCTCAGAAGCTTTTCCCATTCTGTCCTTCTCCCAGCAATTGTTTTCCAGTTCTTTACTTTTAGGATGGCAAAATCCTCATCTACACAGTCCTTCCATCTCTTTTTGGGCCTTCCTCTTGGCCTTTTATTGGAGGGGGTTGCATTAGAGACTCTCAATGCTGAGAAAAATGAACTGTATGAACTGTTTTTCAAATTAAATAAATAAAAAACAAACAAGATAATTTGCTAAGGAAATAAAAAATTTATTTGGCAATGATTTTCACTTAAATTCCAGGGAAATTAAGAGAATTTAAACATCAAACGCTGAGAACAAAAGTATGCTTTACGATATTTGAAGTGAAAGCATTATCGTGTCCTTAAATATTTATTTCGTTTTTTTTGCATCATACAATCAATTCAAGCAATTCAACTCCATTTGGAAACATAAAATCAAAGAAATACTGTTTTGTGATCAATTTTCGTAATCTATTCATTATTCCGGTTTAGGATCTTAGAAGTACTAAATTCGCTTAAGTATTTCAACAATGAAGTGTTTTTAATTAAAAAAAATAGCAGATGATAAATTAAGTCAGTGCATGTACATTGACGAAATGGACGATAGAATTCTGCAATTAACAGGCTACGGGTATTTTAACGAATGTTTTTTCTATTAATGTTTGTGTTTCCCCTTTAATTTCGATCCAGTTTTTGAAAAGCAATTAATATTTTAGGATAAAAGCAGTTCAGAATTTACGACTTTCGACAATTTCATGTTTGTAGAATAAAAAAAACAGGCTGTATATTACATTAGTGCATACTTATTGACTTTTTCAAATAAACGAAAGAATTGTATAATAATTAGGATACGGCTATTTTAACCAACGTTTTTTCTAATAATGTTTGTTATTTCACCCTTTTTTTGTACTCGGCTTTCGAAACTCTATTTATTTTTTAGGATTAAAGCAACTCTTAATTTACGCTTTTTAACAATTACATGTTTGTAGCCCATAAAAGAGAAAAAGAAAACAATAGGAGGCAAATTGCATCATTGGATGCACATTGATTTAGTCAAACGAATGAAAGGATTCGATAACTAACAGGGTACGAAGCTTTTAACTAATATTTTCCAACTTATAATAGCTGGCTAACATACGCTAGTTATTTTAACATACGTTAACGTTAACATACTCTAGTTAACACAGCTTTTATGTTGCGCTTGTTTTTTGTGCTTTACACTTAGATTTCTTTATTTTTTACATAAATTTACATAAATTTTTTAACATAAATTTAATTTTATAACATAAGTAAACATAAATTTTTTTCCCAATGACTGGCATCGAAATTTTACGTTCCTTGCCACGAAACATGACGGAATTGTTGCTCATTCAAAGTTACCCTGTGAGCTTGAGTCACGGAGCCGAGCAATATTACCTATGCCACACTGACATGCATACGCGTTCATAGGGTTAATCACATTTACACAACACCTAACAGAGGACAAACATAGGGGGAGAGAGAGATCTCCATGCTCTAAGCGTGATTCGAACCCGTGACCTTCGGCTTCATAGCCAAGTCAAGCTAGATTAATTATAGTATATTGCAATAATAATAATGCACATTGTAAAATTTTAGCTAAAGTATTACGCGAGGTGTTTCGTAAAAACTTCCCTTTGTATGCACGAATGAAGACAAAAAAATATACTTATTGTTTGTATAATGTACATTAATATTTAAAAGAGGGATACAGGAAAAAAAAAGCTATTGAAATCTGGAAAATTATAGTAGAGGAAAGTGAATGTAATAAACGTCAAAATACATTATTAAATTGGATTATGAAACTTAAAGGTAATTCTATTTATAATCATTCAACTGTTCTCGTTTTTCACCCGCAATCAAACCTATTACGTAACTCATTATGTCCGCCCTCCTGTAATGTGATTCGTAAATTGGGAGAGAACTCTGTTTTTATCATCGCTTAAATATTAATTTACAACCTCTAATGTGCATACTTTATTGTTTTAATTTTTTCATAAGAATTCCAAAAATACACATTACCAGTGGTCTTTACCGAACACCCTGCACGACATAATAATTTAGTGTCTAATATTGTATATTTTCTGATTTATTAACTTTTATTTTTCAATAACAATAACCACGCATTGTATATCATTAATTTATTTATTCACTAACACATTTTTTAACCTTCGAAAATATTGGGGCAACAATATCTATGCATCCAACTAAGGACAGTGTATTCGTTGCGCTTCGTAAACGATAACAAAAAACAACGTGAAAATAATTACTTTGTACATGCTTGTCTCTTTTCTTTCTGTATCATCATTTGGCATCTGGACATTGAGGAATGTTCTTGCATATAGAATTGAAACTATAGTATGTCAATTTATGTATTTTCATTTGTGCTTCTTTCACGTTATTTCTTAAATTAATATAAATGCACATTGAAATATATTTTATACCTTATAAAATTTGTCTTTTAAAATCTAATACCTAGAAAAAATACCTATTATTATTATTTTATTTTTAGTTAATTAAATATAATTGGTTTTAATTAATATTTATTATTTTCAATAAATATTTATTATTTTTAATTAATAAAATTGTATTGATTTATTAAAAACGTATTTAAACATCAGAAAATTGTGGAGGTTTATGAATATAGCTTCCTTAGAGTTGTAAATTCTGGTATTTAGAAAACGTATACTTACTTCAGTTTATTTTTATTTATTAATTTACTATTTATGTAAATTATTTTGATTTTCATATTAATTAATTTAATATTCTAAAATTTTTGAAAAATGTAAAACAATTGCGAATAATTTTGCTGGAAAAACTAATATTCAGTAAAAATATATTTACTTATTTTTTATTTTTCAGGAATTTATCATTATATTAACTTATTTTTTTATTATAAAACACTCATTTTTATATTAAAAAAAAATTAAAAAAATTAAAAAAATAGCTAAAAATTTGCGTTTATTATTTTGCTATAAAAGTCCTCTAACTGATAATTCTTCGAACTTAAAGAGTTAATAAAAAGATTATAAGGGATTTAATAAAAGTAGTTGTATCATAAAACTTTATGATATGTTTATGGATTTATTTAAAATGGTATGAAAGATTTAGAAAGATTTTGAAATCTCTTCTAACTAAATCTATAAACATTTTAGTCGTTTTATTAATTATTTCAAATACTTATGAAATTTAATCATTAAATTTGAGTATATTACTCGTTATTATCCTTATAAATTATCCTTAGAAATAATTTAATAAGTGTGGCGCAAACAATTGTATTGTTTTATCATGGCAAAAATTATATAGATATATGTCTACGTAATATCATTGTTTGATCTAGTTTATTTTATTAAGCAAACTTTCATTCTTTTTAACAAAATTTTCATTTTAGAACTTAATAAGTTCTAATAAGAAATATGGCGTTATTAAATTTTTAATACCTTCATAGATGTTTCTAAATATCTTCTTATTGTAATAGCTTATTGTTTCGTTTTCTATCATAAATAACATGAATTTATTTTTAACCCTTCATCGCCTAATTTACGGTTTTATAACATGTTTTTTGAAATTATTACATCAATAACGTTTATTGAAACCATTAGGGCTGGAAAAGTAGTAATGATACGTTTCCAACAAACAGTACAGATTAAGTACGAAAATCATTTTGTTTCCTTTTTAAAGAGTTGAAACGGTTGTAAAAGTTCTCCAGTCCGCCACAAAACAAAAGTAAAAAAATGATTAATAAATGAAAGAAAATAAATTAGTTAATAAAATTTAAATTAAAATAATTATGCAATTACAAATTAATTCTTTGTTAAGAATTCAAGTTTGTTACGATTTTACTTATTAAAATATTCGCTGAATTTAAAATGCTTAGCTAAATAATACTTAACTACCTCCCCTCCAAAACCTGGATAGACTGTATTGACTTTAACATATATTTAGACTAATAGATGACTTATGCAAATTGATTCTATTGTTGATTTTTTTCATTGTAACACTTTCATTGAAGCAGAGCAGGCTTAGATGTTTGAAACGCAGGAATTAAATGAACTAAATTCATATATATTGTTCCCCGGTATATTAATTATGCAGAATTAAATATTTTGTGCAGTTTGTATCGTTTATCTCGCTATACTATATTGTCAATCAAATGATAAAATACTTTAGCTTGTTTTAAATGAAATTTGAAAAGTAAATATACTAACTTGACTCACGCTATGCACTTTGCATCACATCGAATTATATCGTTTTTTGTCCTGCCTTCAACTCTAATAGATTATGTACCTTACTTAAACTTACTGTTTTGAATACAGTTTTCTGAATAATAGACAGATAATAGTAATTGATGTTTGTAAATTTCAAAATAGTTTAATTAATTTATTTATTTGGTTCTGAATGTTTCGTAGATAGATTTATTATTAACACAACGTCAATAGATTAGTTTTCTGTATAGTCTAATTAGTTCAGTTTCACAGATTTATTTGACAATATTGCTCTTACAATAACAGCTTGTTTAGCTTAATTGTGATTCAGACAGTAACTATTCTTAAGTTGGGTAATTTCTTTCCTTTACTTTTAATTATTTAAATTTCCTTGCTTAGTTTTAATTATATTTATAATGCGAAAGCCAGATAATGCAAATGTAAATAATGTTTATCATAAATTGTACTTTCTAGAACATGTTTTTCAATTTATTACGCAATGGTTAAAAAAAGGAATTATTTTAGTTTTTAAAAAAAAAAAAAACTCGTAGTTTGTTTTGGTTTTTGCATTTTTGATTTAGAATGCGTGTAAATACTACCGAGTGTCCCATAATAAGCAACGGTATGAAAAACTTTTGAAAGCAAAACAGAAAGAAACTGAAATGTACACTGCATTCTGAAAACCAGAGTTTTAAACTAAACAAGTTTCAAAATTAGATGTAAAGATCGTCAACAGATGGCTCTGCTGTCTAGAAGAACTCATGAAACAATTATGCTCTCTTCTACAAGTTTAACTGTTATAACTGAAATACTTGTTCGGGAACCTGTTAATTTTCTCCTCACGCATTTATTGTACATGGTGTTTTTTTTCTCTTCTCCCTTTTTTTTTAAAGAAAATATGTTTGGTATCGGTAAGCCATTGTAATACAAACGTTACAATCTAACCCTTTCAATCTAGGTCCTTTCTACAATTAAAAAAAGGACGCTATAACTAAGAGTTTACAAGACAAAACTTGCAGTTTGCACAATTATTATGTAACGCATAGAGATCATTAATTAAAGTGGTTATAAAATATTAAAATGTAAACATTTTTAATATTCAGAGTGGTAGGTAATTGATGGTACCGGAGAGGCAGACTCTTGTGCAAATGCTTAAATAACTCAAAATCTTGATAGACTAAGCAGAACATAACAAACATAACTTTCTATTACCTTCAATTCCTTAAATTTATTTTTCAAGTCGTCGATCATATTCTGAACAATGTAACTGTATATTAATGTTTATTTTTCAAATCTTATTGATGTTTTTCTCTTTTAGGTTCGAAGAAAACGATATTATTATCCAGTTATGTAGGCCTAGTTTTTGCTGGAGTTAGCATCAATTTAATAGTGTCTTTGGTAATAGTTTGTAATTCCCGTCTACGAGTTGCTCGGAATCTTCTAATAGTAAACCTGAGCTTTTCTGATCTCATGCTTTGCTTGTTTTGCATGCCTTTTACTCTGATTGAGCTTATGAACCGTACATGGAACCTTGGCGCATTTCTTTGTCGAGGCGTTCCATTTGTGCAAGGTATCACTATATTTGTTGCTTCAGCTACGGTATCTGCAATTGCCATTGATCGCCAACAAGTAATTATCAATTTCAATGGTAACAAAAAGAAAATGAAAAATGGGAAGAGTAACATGCTTCTGTATACCACTATACTCTGGTTCTTTTCTGTGCTCTTGTCTCTTCCAATACTTTTCTCAAAAACTGTTACCACAGTCTCATTAGCTGGAATGGTGCTATACAACAAATGCATCGAACAATGGCCTTCGACCCATGCTAAGGCGATGTATACCATTCTTATCTTAATAGCACAGTTTTTTATTCCAAGCATTGTCTTAACTGTAACACACTTCCGTATTAAATCATATCTGAACAGGAGTGTTCGAAGACACGATGCAAAAAGTTCTCCTCGAACATCAGAACGCTTAAGAAAGGAACTGAAAAGAAATAACCGAGCCACAGTTGTATTGTCTTTCATATCTGTGGTGTTTGCTATAAGCTGGTTGCCATGGAATGCTTTTAATATCATGGCGGATTTTGATCTTCTCTCTGATATGCCAGCTGATCAATTCTATTTAGCATTCGCCGTTTGCCATTTAGTTGCAATGTCATCTAGTATAACTAACCCTATATTATATGGTTGGTTTAACAGTAATGTAAGAAGGGAACTTCGCCAATGTAGATTAGCATTATTTAGTCATATATTTACAGAAAATAAAGAATCAAAGATCGAAGGTACTAACGGATCTGCTGTGTATGATAATACTTATATAAGATCTTCGGGGAAACCAGAGCTACAAGAGAGTCAGCTCTAGTGATTCTTTAAAATACTATATTGATTTAAGTGCATGTAAATGATACTGAAACAAAACTTTAAGGACATTGCTGAATGTAAGGTAGTTAATGATGAATATTAATGCTTTATGTATCTGAGCTTCATCACTGAGTTACATTCTGCAAAGGAAAATTTTAATTTGAATAGATAATTTGGATAGAATAATCATTATCCGGTTTAACTAATAAAAAAATAAGTATTTTTCAATTAGCATCGTCCCATACAATAGTAAAGTGTTAAGGCAGTTATTCGAAGGCTTTTTCATCGCATGAAATTATGCTCTAAAAATAGCACCAAACGTCAATATGGAAAAAAGTCACAGTTTTGAGAAAATGAAAAGAGTTTGCTGTCAAATTTTTTAGATATTTAAAATGTTACTCTAATGCTATATTATTTGGGATCATAATGAGACATTGAATTACGAATTTTGATAGGTTTCATCAAGGTGGAAAAATGTCGTCAATTTGCGATTTTTAAGATAGTTTAATAATTTTTGGAATTTTCAAGTTATTTGTCCATTCTAAAACCTGTGTAATTCTTCACTGCAAGATGTCAGATATAATTTAAAATTAAGTCTAATGCTCTTTCACTGTGGAATATTTAAATTCCTTGGTGAAAGAACTCCGAAAAACCATGTAATATAATTCTTCTATGAACATGTTAGTTTTTAATTGAAATAAGTTTCATATTACTTAAACTTATGAGTGCTTATTTGTTAATTTTCTCATACTATAATATAGTATGATGCAAAATACACCCATTATCTATAGGTATTTAATACAATAAAATCATACTGTGTTTAAGACCAATGGCTTGAGGAAGTAAGATAAACAATAGATATTATAAAAATTATAATATTTACAAAATTCGCTGTAACTTTCAGTGAAATATGCTCAGTGAAATTAGAATTTTAAGGGAGGCAACTATACCAAACTGCATTTCATGTCAATTGTATATAAACTTGTAAAGAAAAAAGGTTGAATATTTATGAAATATATATTTATTAATGCAGTATCAACTCAAGCTATCTCTACGTATGAGATAAAGCAATTAATGTTGCATGTTTAGTTTCGATCTCATCATTAAATTACTGTATGAAAACTTAAATAAAATTAGAGAAAATATTGCAATTTTTTTAAAAAAAACCGCAAACTAAATTTTTGAACCAATCATATCATTAAATTTTTTTTATTTATAATTTGATCAGAGTTGAGAAATAGTAAAAAAGGCGTATATATATATGTATATAAAACTACAAAGTATAAATTTTTTTACTTTAACTGTAGTATAACTTTGGGGAATGAACCAAAGTCAATAGTAACAAAGTGCTACTACAGTATAAATATATTTGCAAATCAAAACGACTGTTGAGCAAAAATCTGAAATATTTTAGGCTTTGGACTGACCATCACTAAACAGTATTAAATATACCAGTGTTGGTGTTTCGTTCAATAATACGTTTCAAATAATATATACCTTTGCTAACACGACTCAAGATGTATATTTTTAGATAATCGGTAAATATTATTAAATACCAATCTAGAAATGATTTTTGCAATGCAAAAGTTTTGTTACTATTTAGACACATGAAGGTTTTGATCGGATATTTTTGTCATCACCACTAAGCAACTTTAATACAGTATACTATTTTTCATTGATATAGTTCGAGCACAAGGAAATGTACATATGAGGATATTTTTTTCCGTTTCCTCTTTAAATATGATATTGGTGCTTAGAGAAATGAAATTTTCTACAGTCATGTGCGTAGAGTTAAGTTTAAGTAAGTAAAATATATATTAATTATAACTAGATTTTTTTATTCCTGCAATCCGTGTTTTCACTAATGCTTTGAGTAGGGGAGAGTTGGATCAATTGTAAAATTTTTTACCTAACTATTTTTAACTAACAAAAAATCCAATATATTATTAGTATTAATTGACAGACGAGTAAAGTAGACTATCCTCTACTAAAAAAATAAATAAATACCTTATTTTAAGTGTTATTATATTAGTTATTACCAATTTTTGACAGTCGTGCACTTGTTACAATTATCCCCACTTACGGGGTCAATTGTAACAGTTCATAAATTCAACTAAAACATAGTTAATTATACATATTCTGATTAAAAAACTTAAAATT